GACTACCACGTATGCTGAATTCGTCAGAATAAATTGCTCCATTCCGTTCATGTAGAAACTTGGCTCTAATTATTTGGCTGTTTCGAAGGAATTGGGAGTCGATACCACTCATGAAGATGCGCCAAATTTGAATCCGGCGATCCAAAAACATATTATGTCTTCGGATATCTCGGGCAGATCCAATATTCGTCCATTGTTCATAGTATTTTCCATTATTCCCATAGAGTCAATGCTTAAGGGCGGATTTTCGAAAAAAATTAAACACCCTTAAAGTGGCCATACGCAGATAATATCCTAGGGTTAAACTTCTCTCGGGGTGGGGATTCTATGACCAAAGTTTCAGCCCGATCGGCGTGTTACATGTTCGGCACTCCCCTTGTCAGATGTGACTGAGGGAATGTGAATGAACCACGGAGTGGCAGAAAAATCGAATATCACAATCCCGATCGCTGCAGAAGTTACGAAGGTAGCGACTAGCAACCTTCAGAGACCGCTTAAACGAGTCGCTAATGAAGAAGGGAGCGATAATTAGCGATGTGGTTTCGCATTACGACCATTTGTATCAAAGCCGTAGCTACTCGTCCATCCGTGAGTTCGCGCGAGTGCAGGCATTTTTGTCGGCACAACTCGAATCGCTGCAAAAGGCGGTCCGCCGACACCGGCCTTGAGTCCGAGCTCTAGGGAGCAGGTTCTCTTACTGAATAGCATCCACTCATCCGCGTCCTTCATGCAGAGGAACGTGCGCATTCAGTGAGTGCTCCAGAGGAGCGAAGAATCAGTTCTTTTGGCTGCTATGACAGGTTACGCAACGTCAGGGAAGAAGCTTGTTTCTCAGACCTTAGACAAATGTTTTGTCTGTCTTGTTAGGGCTGCTGTTGATGAAGCTAGCCTTTGACCAGCTCTCCTGCTCTTCGAAACCTGTTTCGCCTGTTCAGAGTCGTTCATGCCGCTGTTCGGCCACTGTCCTAGGCGTCGATCTTGCGCCCCTGATTCTCGATATATGTGCCCCGTGTTTGCTCTGGAAGTCCTGATTTCTACGCGTTCTGCACTCACCGGTGGCGATCGCTGGTGTTGGTTGCGCGAAATGGCATTCGCTTGGCATCAGGCCACCGAAAGCATAACCGAATCGCTCGGCAGCCTGCTACCACTCAAACTACCATGAATATCTTCTCGCCCATGCTCATTCATCGGTGGGATGACGGGACAGCCACAACGAGACCGGAGGTAACAACGTTCTCGGAGACTTCAACAAACCCCTTAACATACTATATTGTTCAAACGGTTTTGTTCGATTGATGGGCTGCTAAGGAGAATCGATGGCTTCAGCACGTCTCGCTTGCCTGTATTCCTCACTCGAGCCGCTTCCAAATTTCGATGGAAACTTCATTCTGGGAGCTTTGTGTCCTTCTGTTCCTCGAGTCTGACTGATCAATCAAATGATTGGCTCCGGATCGGTCGGGGGACGCGTGACAAATTGGTCGATTTTGTTTCCATTCAGCTGTATCCTGGCCTAGCGTCTATTGACGGGTTCTGTATATACGTCTATGGCCTCGAGCTGGCGAGATACGTGACCATATAGTGCCCCCGCATATGTTGCGAGGAAGAGAGTTTTTTTTGCTAAAAGCTCGACCCCGAACTACGATGGAAAGTTTGGAGCTTCAAGGTAGGGGGAGGAGGAAAATGGGTGACTCGGAACGATCGGAGGAGGAACAGGAACTTTTGGAGACCCCTAACGCTCCAGAGGCGTCGATTGTGCTCCTATTCCCGGGAGATTTTGCTCAGCTCCCGGTATGTAAAACAGGGACGGGGAGCTGTCAATTCCAGGAAAACGTCTGTAGCCCACCGATGAAACGAGCGGTAAGCGCCTGGAACATTTCCAAACTCTCAACGAGAATCAGCAATTCCTATAGCTCGGACTGTTTGGACCCTTGCAATGTGAGAATGCAGGGAACAATCCGAAACAGTTGCGACGAGCTGACCAAATGGGAGGGAGTGCTCTGGTTGGATATATTAGGCGCGACTGAGTGAGTCATTATAGTAGACGACTGAGGGGGAGGCCGTGAGTCTAGATTGGAACTGAGCGAGCACGCTAACTATAGGCAGTCAGCCAGCCACCATCCCAAGAAGCTGGCCAGCGATTATTATCTCATCGGGCAGGTATTTGACGCTTGCTTCCGTTTTGAGGTCCAGTCATTCATCAAGAGAGGTTTCGTCATCAGTTCCTGAGAGGCATAAATTATTCATGCTTGCCGAATATCTTTGCGTCGCGCCGTCTACTTCCCATGCATAACGTGCGAGCTCGAGATCGTTTGTGCTGTCTCATAAGATCGCTGAGCGATGTCTACAGTGTTCCTCTCCTCACGAGATTCACACCGGTAGGAGAATGCGAGGAGCTAGAATCTCTAACGTCCATCTATCGTTGACAGCAATCAGCCCCGATCTCCAAGAGGGCTTGGAACTCCGTAAGACAGTCGCATCTCTTGCGGTAGTTCCCATTATTACAGAAGGAGCGTCCGATGTCGTCGTTCCGTGGTCGCATTCACGCGAACGCGATATTTCACGCGGAATTGAGCTTTCTGGGGGGCGCTCTCGTGCGATCGGAGCAAATAGCCGTCGAGATCTCCGACGGGCGATCGGAACTGTCCGGAAGGTCCCTTAGGCGAGCAGTCGAGTTTCTTCTGTGACGGGAGGGATTGCAAATCATTGGACTCGACCGACCGACGCACGTCCTTGAAGGAACTAGACATTTGACCGGATGATTGCAGCTTCCCTCGCAAGCCTATTGAAAGGAGATGCCATTCTGCGAGAGAGAACGGTCTGCGGTCTATTTTGTTTTTCAAACGACCGACTTTGAAAACACAGTCGGATTAATGTTAGCTGGACGACGGCCTCGGCTGGGAAATCCTGGCGCGACCTTCATACCAAAGGATTTCCGTGCAGAAGACTTCTCTGTCCTCGAGAAATTTCGACAATCCGCGTAATCATTCGAGTCTGGGCGCTACTCCCTAACTTCTGAGCCGGGGATTCGAGGCTCCCGCATTGGTACGAGCAACATTGGCGAACTTGGAGCACGAGCAGGTTCATGTTATATTTTCGGCGACACAGACAGACGCATAGAGCAGTCGGAGTTGTGGGATGGCTCTGAATCGGGAGGAGCCTCCGTATGAAGCGGGAGGACATGGAAACAATGAGTTCTAGATCCGACCGGCAGAAATTACGCTGATGACTAAATCGAGAGCCTGATGGATCGAAAATGAATTCCTTCTTGATTACGGGCTCAGAAGATTACGACAAATTACCGCAAGGTGACTAAGCGGGCGATCTCTGTTCTATTTCAGGAATGTCCGTCGGGCATGGTCAAAGAAGAGACGTTCAAAATGATCTATTCACAGTTCTTCCCACGAGGAGCGGATGCTTCGCAATACGCCCACTTCGTGTTCAACACATTCGATCAAGACAACACAGGGGCGATAACGTTCACCGTAAGCATGACGTCCCTTCAATTAGGCAATCTCGAAGCCGGGTTGCGTTTTTCGCTAGTTCCGAGCGTTTCAGACTCCGCTTCCTCGTTCATGGCGTCTCGACATCGTATTCCTCGCGAAACATCGAGATTTCGTTTCGCCTATTCCTTCGCAAGATGTTCACCCGATTCCGGCTTCTCGACAAGATACGAATCGAGCTCAAGCCTCCTAACCAAGAGCTCTCATAGCTGGGTCGGGTGCCCGGCTCGAACAGTTTTTACCGTATTAGGAGAAGCCAATACGCGAGCATCAGCTTCCGAAAGTTCCCGCGTTTGTTATACCCTTATCCAATTTTGTCTCCTCAGCATTTTGCGCTGCAAGCCATCTAAAGCATCACCCACCTCAACGAGCCCCACCTGTTCTCAACAATGCACTTGCCCGCACGTAAATAGGTGGTTCCCGCTGCCGATAGTGCGGGAACAGCTGTCGCTCCTTGAACGACGTGAATCTTGACTCGACTTCTCTATTTGAGCTGGAAAGCTCCTGCAGTTGAGCCAGGGTCGATCGAAAGATCGAGCGGTTGAGTCTCTTGTCTGCCTATCAGAGAAAAGTGCCGTTGTTGTATCATGTAGCTCATTTGCTTCTGAGATGAATTTAGGGCTGACTGAGTCAGGTCACACCGAGAATGAGGCGCAGAGCCCCCGGAGGCCTCAGGGAGTAATTTCATACTATCGTCCCAGGGACTTCGATGGAGCTATGCTGCCGGGAACCTGGTCTAGTATCTCTTCGAAATTCCTCCACTGCACCGCAGAACTCGTTGCGCGAAGTTTCGAGCAACGATCACCACAGAAGAACGGGATCGGACATGATCATTCGGGACGAGGGATCAGGGGTCGGAAATAATAACCGAAATCACGATCGAAGTTCCCGGTGGAGCTCCCACGCGTGCCTGATGCGTGGGCGCATACCGCGGATCTGTGTTCTCTTCTAAATCATGTACAGCGCCCGGCTGAGTGGGGGACTAGAATAATCCCGAGCGAGAGGCAAATGACTGTGAGGCAGTAAATCAACCAGAGGAGCTACCGACCGGGTGAGAGTCTGCGACCGCTCAGTCGGGACAGCTCATGATTCGCTTACCGTGGATAACGATGCTCATACCTACGAGCGGCTTACGATTGTTTGCATAGATGTAATACACACGCATACCTGTTGCTCGTCTTCAGCCTGAGGCTTGACAAGGGGTGCCTCGCCCGACATCGGATGGCTTCCACCGCGACCTATTCCGCGCGAGATATTCGCTGCTGGCGACCTGTTCTCGCTCATTGTCGGATGCGACTTAGCAACAGGTCCGCAATGCGGGCATGTCGAGTCGACGAAGTGAGCAGCTGCTGAAATTGATCACCGATACTTCTCGCCAGATTGTATATGTCAATGGCATGCTGATTATGAGCAGATGGATGGATGGATGGCAAACTCGTCGGGGTGATCATTTGAAGCGTCCAGGTGATAGATTCACCAGCCGCGCGGATGATTGATCGCCTACTGGGAGGACGGAGAGTCGGAAACACCTCTCGTGGAAATTTTCCCTCGAGAAACTCGCGGCGGAAGAGAGAAGCACGTCCTCTCAATCAGTATGAAGCCCCGCAGGCGAGGGCCACGGTTTCCCTGTCGCCGGCCGGCTCGCTCATGTTTCATACTTTATCTCCGATCGCTTATCATCGGAAAGCAGCCCGGCGACAACAGGTCGCGGTACGCTTCCGCTATCGTCGCAAGTGCAGGTCGCAGCGCGAATCGGCCAGTCTGGAACTCGGAAAGAGCCGGCGCACGCAGCGAAAGCGACTAGTAAGAGCTCGTCTGCCTTCCAAAACAACAAAGCGGCCCGAGTCGGGCAAGCAGGCATCCGACCAAACAACCAACCAGGTTATTGAATGCTAGCTCTCTCTTAAACGTTGTCTTTACGATCGCGTGCTGCAAGCGTGCCCTACGAGCGGGCCGCTCTCATATGCCTATATGTTGTAGTGGGTACAAGGCTCAGGAAGGCCATCAGCACGACATCGCCAAAACAATATTATTTCAACGATTCTGCTAGACGTACGTATGCTCAATAATGGAACTCCGCTCTGAGATGAACGTAAGCCGCTTTGCGACTCGCTCGCACGCTTATCTTCGAAGATCTCTCAAAGATCCTCTGGAGATCACAAGAATTCACAATCTCTGCCCCTCGATGGAGCTCCGAAGACGGTGCCTTTGAAGCGGCGGCGTCGATGACGACGTCGACGACGCATCGATGAATCATCAAACTGCAGGTAGCAGCGAGTTCCTGGGCAAGAGGCTGCGGGATGGGTCTCCGTGCCAGGCGAATGTCCTGGCGGCGTCTTTCGCTCCGACGAGCTCGCAAAGGCCTCCTCAGCAGCTTTACGAGCCGCCGCCGTGGACACATGAGCAGGAATATATTGTTGATGCTGTCGCTGCTTCTGCGGCTTTCAGATCCTCGTCCCGTTGCGTGGTCCTCATCGATGGGACGGAAAAACGGTAGAATAGATCGCTTGGGCGGTCAATCAATCGGTTCCTGCGATCGGTCGACCGACCGCCGGCTCGCGCTCCTCCGGTCGGTCGGTCGTTCGGCCGGTTTATGTGCCTCCGTGGACCACAACGGTTGCGAGAGAATGCCAACAATGGCCAACGATCGCTCCGTGTCTGCTTCTCCGTCGAGTACTGGAGACGACTCGACGACAAAAGAGCCCACAAAGAACTTCAGGAATACAGTTTTGCTGTGAGGACACCATAACGTGACGGACAGTCACGTGATTGAAAGCGGGCCATCGTTTCCGGTGGTCTTGAATAGTGGTGCTTTTGGGAAGCTCGCGAGCGAGGGAGCGAATATTTTTTCTCTTTATTTATGGCTCAGCTGGAACGATCGTTCCGAGGTCCGCATCTGCGCTCCACAGGCGCTCCGTATTAGATGAAACAAATCGAATTCAACAGCCGTATTGGAATTTCTAGCGTTCTTGAAGAACGGTCGTGAGGATTCCGTCGTCTACTCGAGATGGAGCGGCGCCTTTCGTTATACTCAGAGCTCGAGTTCATCGCGGTAGAATCCAGGGTGGCTGCCCGTCCGCAGACGAGCGCACTCCCAGCGACACCGGTCTATACCTCTTCCTGTGTCCGAAAGTTCGCTGACAAAGAGCAATTTCTTTCAGGATTTCGTAATTGGCCTATCGGTGTTATCAAGAGGATCTCTTCAGGAAAAGCTTCGCTGGACTTTCAACTTGTACGACATTAATGGAGACGGGTGAGTAGGCCCGGGGCATCCCGTCAACGCTTTGATGGGTCTTTCTCCTTTCTCCCCGCATCGAGAACGCCTCAGCGGAAGACTTCCCACAGTTGTCCGTGACTCTGGCTCCTCTACAGCGCTCAGAATGTTTACAAAGTTCGCCATCGGACACGCCCGCATCGGGATGGAGGCGAGGCGATGAAGCCGCCCGAGGCGCTCCTTTGATCCCTCCCACGAGCAGTGGCAAGATGAAGTGCTCCATTCATTTAAACAATAAACCATCGATTCGCGGAGCCATTGATAGGGGGTCCGTGGTGGTCTTGAGTTCGACTCACTAGGACCGGCTCTTAGTGCGTCAAAGAGAATACGGGGCGCTGGCCCGGAAGAGAAACACGGCTCATCGGTGATCTCGTCCTGCCGATCAATCGCTGGAGCCCCAGAAGGAGCAATGGTCGGCTCTCAATCCTGGCTGGTGACTGAGCAAGGCCCGGACCGTCGCGATTCTGGCAGGACCTTACCCTTGCCCTTCCAGGCGAGGATGACCTCTACGCTTTTCCCCGAGGAAATCTTAGATTTCATCAAGATTCGGTCCTCGGGACCCACACGGAAATTTCTCATCTGTGTCTTAGAAACCATCTCGGCCGTGGAACGCTTTTTCATCACCGGGGAACAAAGCGTTCAAGAGCCATGCCCGAATTTTGGCGGGTCCCGCAATCAGTGGCCTTTTCTCCTGGTCTCCCCAGCTCGCGGAATTACATTGAGAGGGCTCTGATCCGCTCATTGTCTCCAGTAAGCGCTTCTCTCGCAAGCGGGCCATCGTGCTCGTTTACGTGTACCCCAGCCGGCCTCGCGGTCCGAGGTTCTCGTGGCGTGACCGGCACGACCGTATTCTGTTTTCACACCCTCGTCTCAGGACCTTTCTCTTCTCTTCACGCTGCTAGCCTGCGTTTTTTACGGTCACAGTTTCTCTGGGAGGTGCCTGCTCCTTTGGGCACAGCGAAGTCTCGGACAGAAACAATGTCATGAGATCCAACAGCCAAGGGCAAGAAACTGAGCCTCCATGGTCAGTCTTACATTTCCGCTCTGACAGTCCCGAGCCGGAGCGGAAAGGAACTCCTCAGCGTAGGAAGCCCCCCCCCTCCACATCCATTTGTATCCTGCGCGAGCCAGCCCGCAAGCACAGATAAGCACGCAGGGAAACCGGCGGGTTTGTCACGCGAGGCGTGCCTCGGTCAAGAACGCTCTGAGTGAATGCCGAGAGAGCGGAATGTGTTTACGACCGTAGGGATCGATGTGTTTATCCGTGGCTGCTCGATCGACAGAAAAAACGCACTGTGACCAAAACTGGGGAAGCAAAGATGTGTCCCTCACCCTTTCTTCCCCCCCTACCCCGGGTTCCTCGGAAGATGAACTACGTAGCTGATGAAAAATGGACGACTCGAGGCAGCAGCAGTACCAGGCTACGTGGAGCATTTAGGCACTTCGATTATCGGTATGGTAGTCGTTCGCACTCCTGGCAGACGTGAAGCCGCAATCGAACGTGCGTGATCTTCCCGAACCCTCCTTTACTGTCCCGCTCGACAAGTGCGGAGTCGATACCGCCCCAGTAGCGACTCGTTGAAGACCAGTTCCACTCCTTCTGCAGGCACGACTCGTGAAACTTTAACTTTACTGCCTCCGAACTCCATCGACCCTTTGGATGGACCGATGTCTCGGTCTCCCAGCATGGTCGACTAGACGAGCTGGAGCTCCGGTCAACCTTGCCCTCCTGCAAGGCCCGGCCAGACCCCGACACTTCCTGTGACCTCTCAATATTATTAGCACGGAAGAATGGCTCGAGCTCTACAACACTCGAGCTGACTGGCCAGGCACCCATCATTTTCCTATAAGCGATGGCCAGTGGAGAAACTCCCCTACTCGCTTCTCTATTGAATCATAATTCTGGAGCCGTCATCCGGGAAATCGATCCGGCCCTCGGCTTGATTGATAGCTGGCTAACGAATCGTAGGAGCTCAATTTACCCCAGGCCGCCCGGAGCTCCGTGACGAAAACAATGGTTGGCCAGCTGGTCGGACGTAGGGATATAAACGCTTGCCGTCCTCTTTTATGCCGCTATATTGTGTTTATGGTATCACTCGCGGCTATCAAAGGTCGCCGTCGCGTCGACTGCACTCAAACCGGCTTGCCGGCCCGTCCGCTTATCCCTCAAGTGGCGTTGAGGGCACGGTTATCTCTGATTCCATACCCGGAGCCATGGCGGCCGTCGTCAGCGCCGCGAGCTCGTCCCTCGTAAAAAGGAGCTTTCGTGCTCCTGTCTCCGTCTCCCGTCGGTTTTCCCGCTATCGCGCGCAATATCCTTATAATAGGATCGCTCCAAAGTTGGCTGTCCAGATTGAAGCTCGAAATGAGGAGCTCTCATTGTCCTCGACTATTTCTACCAGCGGGCCTCGCTCCAGAAGATGCTCTCTCATACATGGAGATTGGAGAGGGGAGAATTTCGCGATCGCGACGGCGGAAGTTTTGAGACGACGGCGCAGATAGAGTCGAAGCGGTTTCTTCAGCTTGGGAGCCATGAGGGAGAATGTCCACCGCAGCTCGCAATCCCGACTCAATTCCGCCGTCGACATCGGTGATTGTCTGAGGTCTAGGGAAGAGCTTGTCGGCATTTCTTTCGGGTGAGAATGTTGCCGACTGACGGTGTTCGCCAAAGTAAGCGGATCAAATTCCAACTCTGATACAAAGCGAGATTATTCGGTCACCTCGAGAACAGGCTGTCGAGTCGAGCTCCACTGGACTGATACGGTCCTAGCCGCAGGCTAAGAAAAGTATCTGGCTGGTGTTCAACGACAGCGGCCTTCTGCCGTTGTGATGAAACTCACACAGTCTTTTTCCAGGTATATCACCAAGGATGAGCTGTCTCGGATCGTGAGGGCCGTTTATGATCTGATGGGCCGGGCAGTTGAGCCGCTGGTGGAGGAGCACACGACCCGTGAGCATGTAGAACGCGTCTTCAACAGACTCGACCTCAACAAGGATGGGGTTGTAACTATCGACGAGTTTATGGACTCGTGCACCAAGGTAAATATCTGGAAAATTGGTGGCGGAATCACAATTGGGCTGTATGTTTGGGGAATTATGGGCTTATGAGAGTTGTACATGACCCACATTAAAGTTCCCGAGCTTGGAGGCCTCATTGAGCGACCCGTATCCTTGTTTCGAGACTCACCCGCTGATATGGTCGTCGGTCGAGATCGCCGGAGTTTGCCTCGGCTCTATCGCGGTAGCCCAACGGTCTTCACGTTGAGCTTAATACCAAATGGCCCGGAACGATGTATCACGCAGTCTATGATCTCATGGTCAGGAGACTGTCCCCGGACCGATCCTTGAGTTTGCGCAGCTCATTTGCTCATCGGCTATAGGCTGGATTCCGGAGCAATCGAAGGGAGTTTGTGCCCGATTAGCCATTGGTCGAAGTAGAGAGAGCTCCGGCGGATATTTTCAAATCGAAACTCTGTTCAAACAATCGTCGAATCACGAGACTCTCGATATGGAGAAGGCAGCATGGTCAAATCGTCGAGTTTTCAGAATGGCATCATGTGTTTTCGATCGGCTCAGTCTGGTGGCCATTCATGATTCATTATCCATGGCTTCTTCCCGTGCCCGATTCGAGGATGGTTTCCGTGCAGCATTCGGGAAGCCAGCCGGCAAATTCACCCGACAACGGCGACTCACTCCACGGCACAACGACAATTGTTTCTTCTGGGCAGAGTTAAGCAAGTGCTAATTGGTCTCGCTTAGACTCCTCCGAGAATGCTTAAGGATCTCTGCTGTCTGTGGTTGACACTTGCTCGTATTCATCTTCTTTTGGTTCTAATGGTAGGGGTCTTGTCTCAGAGCAGTCACTCGCGGTCTTGATAAAAATCAACCAGCGGAAACGAACCGACCTTCGAACCCACATTCTCTGAGAACTGCAGCCCTGCGCTGGAGTTCTGAGCTCCCTGGAGATGCTGCTTGCCTCGGTGCTCTCTGGCTGCTCTTTCTCCACGCATGAATTGATGACTGGCTGAACTATGTGTTTTTCGGTCTCGCTCTGGCAGGCCGGTGATTGAGTGATTTGAAGACAAGGAGGGAAGAAAGTGTGACTTTCGAAAGACTGGGATGACTCAGAGATTTTTACAATTTTTTTGCAGGATGAGAACATCTCCAAGTCAATGGCAGTGCTGGACACAATCCTGTGATGTCGGGAAAATGGATGGAATATTGAGTTTTCGGATTTATTAGATTCTCCCACCACTTCTACTACTACTACTACTTCTTCTACTACTACGACTGCTTCTGCTCCTACTCTGAACGAAGAACTCGTTATCTGAATGAATTTCGAGTCGTCGATAGGTCAACCATGTGTCTGTATAATTGTGCGTCGTTGGTGTGATTGGTTTCCGAAACCGATTCTGTGACCTCCGACGGCCCCCCTCGAGAATAATATCTTCCGTTGAGGCCTCCCGACGAGTGTGGTTCTACCGTCGGCATCGTTCTGCTTCCCGCCGTCGAAGGCATGGACATGACCTTGGAAATTCATAATAATTTCCCGTACGGGTTTTTGGATCCGATGAATTCGACTTACGATTCCGGAACGCATCGAATCACTCATCGAACGTCCGCGTCGTTCCCCTAATGAGTCAATCTCAATCGTTCTCAGTCGGACTCGTTCCTCTTTGTATATTTTCACCATGTATTGCATCGTCGCGAGCCACACTTTGTCGGAGAGCTCTTAGAACACTTTTCGATGGATTCGTGCAGAACCATGGCTCCGCTAAACCTTGGACCACGGAAGGGTTCGAAACCCTCGCTGAGGTACTGGTCTCGTTGGCGGGACCCTAAGGGGGATAGCCCGAGGAGGTGCCATGCCGTGCGGCTGTTGCGGAAGTATATTGCACGCTCCGCGAATTCCGAGTGACTGGAATCGGGATGGACCGAAATTCTCGCTAGTATGAGTATGGAGGAATGAAATTCAAGGCATTTAGAGCATCTGGAACGTTAGTTAAGGATCCGGAGAGGGAGTAATAGACCGCTTGCAATCGATCACAAAGTTCCCCTGTCACTACTCTTGAGACGACGCTTCAGCACATTCGGATCCCGTCATGGAGTTTCCCCAAGCAGAATCAGCGTAATATCGGGGAAATTCTCGTCCTCGAGGGCTACACTAAGGACTACCGACTACCTCGGAGCGAAAGGAGTGAAAGGCAGGAGCGAAACCGGACGCGTCCATACTATCTACTTCCTTTCATGTTGCGCTATGTGCTGTTCTGAATAGCGAATTTATCATTGTACCACTGTTACGTTTTTGATCAAATTGTTCACAGAACACGAAGTGTTCTATTCCAAACCAGAGGTTAGTGACGAAACCCGTGTGATTTTTAACCCGTGGAGCAGTCTTTGAACCGATCAACTTCTCCTTTCCTATGAACAAGCAAAGACGAAACGATTTACGAAACGAGCGAGCAAGAAAGCAGACAATGACCTTGCGGAGGCCGCAAGCAAATGAGGGTCGAGCATACGAGACAGAGATAGAATGAGTTTGCCCACGAAAAATTGCGCTCTTGGAAAACATTCGTCACACGTACACTATCTGCGTCACGCCGGCGCCGTCGGGCAGGATCGACTCGGAGTTGACGGGAAAGTCCACTAGGGACTCCGTACTTTATCTGAGTTGTGGCCACGAGACACTATTCTGTCAAGAAATCTGCTTGTAGATCAGGTCAAACATAACCAAAAATATCGAGAACCTCTCCCTGATCGCGCAACCCAGGGAGGATCAATTTGGTGGAGGGAAGTTCACCCTGAACTTTTCGGCAAGCTATGTCCCGATTCGCTCATTAATCGGGTCCTGAGCTATCGTTGTCACTCGAACTGAGGAAATAACTCCTCACATCAAGATTTCCACGGTCACCGCGAATATTGTTCCGCGCCTCTGAGTATTCACGACCTTCTCTTGAGTTTCTGCTTCCAACTTACCCCTTTCAAGTGAAGTTTTCAAGCGAACGCGAGAATGGAAACTCTAGGCGAGTCCCAGACCTCTGGGAGAATATCCTGCCTAACTGCCACAGCCATTGATGATGAAGTTGAAGCGAGGGAATGCTCTGCTTCCGCGTGTTTGTGCACCTAAAGGCCAAGTAGAAATTTTCGAAAGGAACTTTCGAAAGCGAGAAGCACATTCGTAACCGTCGATGTGATCATGAACAAGCCATGAACACCGTCATTCATCCAGCAAGCGAGATACCACTTAGAAGGACCTGATATCAGACCCCGCGATCTTTTTGGGCAGCCTGACGAAAAACGTTCTCCCCGTTCACCCTGACCTCTCTAATCCCTTGAGGAACTCCGATTCTCGATTATCCTTGGGACTAAGCGTCGCCGACTCCTGCGGAAAAACAGTAGAAATGATTTCGGCTTTATCAGAAAATTCAGTGACATCGACGGGTTGAACGGAGAGCGTCCATTGGAAGATTGAGACTTCCTGCAGAATAGAGACGATGAGTCAGGGGGAGGATGTTTCACATCGGATGTCGACAGCGTTAGAGGTCTTGTCGTAGCGATTCGGAACTCAATGCCTGGGAATCTGGAGCCAGTGCGTGAGTGTCCCCGTTTTTTAGCCCTGTACAATATATCTACTTCGGTCAAGTGTGGATTTTCGTGCCATAGGGAACGACGGCAGGCCAGAGTGACGGGGCCTGATGGATCCTTCGACGAGACATTTCGATGAATCGAGTTTGGTGGGTTCACAGCGCCCGCGGAGAACAATCATGGCCCGATGCAACGATCGCGTTGTTTCGGTCAGAGGCCACCAGTTTGCAATACAGTTGTTAATATGAGCACGCGATCGCGGCTCGCACGGCGAGGCTCGCACTGTCTAACGCGGTACTTAGGGAGTATCTGTCGAGTTGTCTCATCGTAGGGTGAGTGAGCGAGGATAACCAACTTAGAGAAAAGTACGATGTTTTCGGGTCGGAAGACTGCGCGGTTCGGGGAAAGGCTCATCCAGATCAATCACTTGATCTGACCGTAGGCCTGCCTGCTTGCATGTGTCTAGTTTTGGGGCTCTGGCCACGGTCCGTGGTCTTCGGGCTCACCACTAGATAACGAACAGGGTTAAGTCATTCATTTTGGGGATTGCCGCTTGAATCTCAGTCGAATTCTCCGATGCGATCCGTACTATGACACCTATGAGAGGTGCACCGTTCCACGGGGGAAAGGAGAAACTAGCATGACAAGCCAGGCAGGCATCGAGTCCGACCCGCAGAACCTTCGAATGTAAACTGAGGAAGTTCAACCCCGCCCAAGCGTTCTGAGCCAAAGAGCGCGGATTTTTTTAGTAGCGCGAGGTTTTTAGGGTTTGTTATGTAGCCCTCCCGCGATCTCTGGAAGTGTAAAACCGAAAGTAATAACGATAAAAATTACAAAAGAGAAAAAGTATCGAATAAATCAATCGAGACCTACTCAAAGCGTAATTCTTCCTTAGTCTCATTTCAAAATACAACATTCGGCGTTGCTCGGGTTCAAATTATTCCTCTCTCAATGGCGTCGAGCATCCCGAACGATCGCGTTCCGGTTCCCGGGCAATCTAAGAGCGTTCCCTCTCGACCTTGGGTTCTGATGAAGGGCACTCGGATTGCGGTCGCGAATCTCGTTCCCGCTCTCTCCATCCTTCGTCCGGCTCGGACACCAATAGCGAGTTCTTGCCACCTGCTGTATGATTATCATGATTATACTTAAATTTTCGATCGGGGTCAGTTCGCAAGTTCGCGTTTTGATAAATTCCAGCAATTCTTTCTCCACATTCCGGAAACTCCGGCCTCACTGCCGACCACATCGGACTTTCTTATTCCTGGCTGGAGTCACTCGATCCGATATTCTACACTCGTACCAGGCCATACGACTTACTGGACAGGAGGTTTCGCTGAGCAGAGTCTTTTCACTAGCGAGCTAGCCGAGTAAGTTCCCTTATGTTCAGAGCTTGGGCTTGGGATCAGATCCGGCTAGCTATCTGCGGAAATATGGTGAGAGCTCGCTCCTCGGCAGTTTTTAATCCAAACAGCCTGTCTGCAGATTTCTCACAATCAGTCTGACGAGGGAAAAGGGAAGAAGACTCTGTGGAGAGAATGGGATTGTCCCCGTCAGCTATTCGTGGCGAAAAATCATAATTTTTCTAGCCCTATCGAAGAGCTGGCGGATATTTGTGTACGTGAGTGAAAGCGGGATATTTTGCGTTGAGTGTTTCATAATCTCGATACATCCTGGACCATATTTGATCGTGACAGGAATGTAAGCGCTTCCGGTCGATTCCTAGTCTGAGAGCGCGCTCCGCGAGAGCCTTCTAATCTCGAAGCTCCATACGATGAGATGCATCACTCACCGAAGCAATCTTGAGGTCGTCCGTGGGACGCACCGGACGGCGAGACACCAGCTTCATGGGAGATCGGCCGCAGAATGGTGATCTCGATTTCCATGTTCAAATGCGCCGGGCGAAGAGTAAACGAACAGCTCGCGGACCCCCCACCCCCCTGGCGATAACGGAAGCAACAGGCGGACTGTCGATGGGTTTTCCCATCTCAGGATGGATATCCGCTGAGCTCTAAGAACTTTTCTTGTGCCGTCTCAAGGTTTTTCCTCATCTCCGATGCGCTCACCATGTCCCCTCGAGACTCGAACGCGAAGGTGCATGCTGAGTCGATTTCTTCTCGTCCGGTAATCAATATCTGCGATGTAAAGATCGAATCGACGCCGAAAAGGAATTGCAGCTCCCATCCGAGGATCCGACCGCGTGTCCCGGATGACGGGCGACGTGTCTGACATCTCCGTCGAGAAAGCACCCCGGTCTCATACGAACTTTCCGCGCTCTGATGCGAAGCTGGCTGTCATCGAATAGGAGCAAATATTCGAACTCTTATTCCGTCGGCTATGGAAGTTTCCATGTTTTGCAGAAAGGCGAAACGAGGCTGCGAGAAGCCGCTTGCTGGCTGAGGAAAGTCGAGAATCTCCCTCAAGCTCGGTCGAATCCGCGTGTGATTCCGTCTCTCGTTTTCCAAACGACTGAGTTATTCGCTTCCTCCCCCACGGGGGATAGCCTCAAACATCGAAGCTCGTGGTTGTATCGAGGTCTTCCCCCAGTCGTGGTCCCAGCGGATGGCGGTGAATTTCAGAGTCGAAATGTCTTTAAGCGCTCCGCGTAAGCATGCCTCCACGGGTCTCAGGAAAATTGGATCTGTCCGGAAATTATTTCCGAGTCGTTCAGATCGGCTCTGAGAGGGTCCCAAGGTCGCATCGGACCAAGGAAAAGCTCCAACGTTCGAAAAATTCGAATCTGGGCG